CTCTCTGAATACGCAGTGTGATTGGCTCGAGCTCTCACCTAAATATATGTACTTCCTAGCTGGCTCGGCCTCAAAATTGTTCGGTTGCCTTTTGCTGCACATTGGCATTTTATGGGTTCAAGACAAAATCGTTGCTTGCTGACCGATTTATCGATTTGGCCAAGTGGCTGTAATGAATGTTTCATTTGCCACCACCACACACTAGCTGGATGTGTGTGTGTGTGTGCGGTTGGACATGTGAATTGGAATGGCTCATTGCACGTTGCGACTCAGGCACCTGTCATACGTTAGCAAACATTATCGCCGGCACATTGTTGGCCAGCCTTAATGCACTCAATCGAGTATGTGATCCACTGCATGTGGTTTGATAAGCATCAAATAGCAGAGTTGACTATTTTCGGGCTACTCTGGAGTCTATGTTTCAGTCTGCTGAATACAGAACTGACGAGAACTCTGTGGCTGCAGTCTATTTAATATATTGCAGAACTATATTTCTTTAATATTTGTAAATATGTAGTAAGAAAATAAAAATCATTTGACAAAACAGAGATTTGCTATAGAAAATCGTATAGGTCATTTAAAATAAAACGAGCTTTAAAACATCATTTTAAATAAAATAATATTGAAAATTAATTGTTAAATTATTGCAACTCATAACCAAAAAGTTGACTCCAGATGCTAAAAGACCTCATTGTGTGTGTGTGTTTTTTTTTTTTTTTTTTTTTTTTTTTTTTTTATTAAATATCAAAGAATAAATTTTCTTCTATACAAAAATGTATAAAAATTCAATAATTGTTTGACGTAAAATATCGAAAATATTTTCGAAATGCTTAAAGTTTAATTTACAAGTTAATTGAAACAGAAAATCGATTTTATTTAATGAAGAAAATATAAAATTCTTCCAATAACAATTAAAAAGTAAAAATAAAAAATAACTAAAAAAAGTGTATTTATTTTTATAAATATAATACTTTTTTTATTATCATATAAGGTATATATTTTCTATTCTATAAATATATATGATTTGCAGTAAACTTCAATTAAGTTAGGGAGTTAATTGCTTACGCATGAAGATTTCCTTAGTAATAGTTTTTGATTTAAAATACATATGTGTATGTAGATGCGAAAACTCCATTAAAAGTTTTCTAAGAAATCGAATCATTTAAAACAAACACATAAAAAGTAGCATGAATTTAAATTTTAAAAATTATTTTTTATGGGCTATCATATTAAAATCTGTTAATCGCACAATTTTAGAAATTATTCTTCCCTAATAATTTTTTTTATATTTTTTTTTTAAATAATAATAATTATTATTTAAATAATAATAATAAATAATAATTAATAATTAAAGACTAAAAATTGACATAAGGAAATATATTATCTGTATATAATATAAACTGCAATAGTCAAGTCTTAAAGCTTACTAAAACTTGACAAAAAAAAACTTGACAAAGAACATTCAAGTTGCAAGTTGCTTTAAAACGCAGCTCATGCAACTTAATGCGAAGAAAACACGCGTCTTTGTTTGACTTCGACAGTGGGGCAAATAATTTACATGGTGAGCCGCAGAATCTTTCGCCAGAGTCCATTTGTCATGCATGCAGCGTGCAAATGCAGGCACCCACACACACGTAGAGAGAGAGAGAGAGAGAGAGAGGTAGTTGTACTTACCCTCAGCTCCATTGGGTAGTGGTATCAGCTCGCCACCTTCGCGTCGCCAGGTTATCGTTGGCGTTGGCGACCCGGTTGCGGCGCATTTGAGGGTTACGTTTGACCCCTCGCGTATGACCATGTCCGTGCTGGTGGGATAGTCCAGTATGTCTGGTGGCACTGTGTATCCAAACACACACACACACACACACACAGATAGTTATGGCAACAGTTACAAGCGACATATTATTCATACGCCACGTGGGCCGTGCAACGTTGCAATGGAGTCCATGAATTGTTCGCCAGGTGTCAGCAGTTGGCAGCAGCAGCAGCAGCAGCAGCAGTGTTTGTTCATTGTTGTTGTTGTTGACATTGTTCGTTGGTTGGTTGGTTATTTGGTTGGTTTACAGTTGTTGTTGTTGTTGTTATTGGTGACATGTGAGTGAGAGAAAATGCAATAAAGAATTTTCGTTGAGTGGCTTAATTTCCATCAGGCTTTTAACAAATTGTCGCTACTCTGTCTAACTGTTTTTGGGGCCATAATTGATTTTTATAAATTTTGCATAAACACTTAAAACGTTGAGTATTTTCCTAAATTCAAAAACTAAAACATTAATAATAAAATAAAACTTTACTGTTACTCAACTCTAATAACAACCTTGGCTGTCATATAGCAGCAGCTGTAGTAGACTTCATAGAGATTTCCACAAGACAAATCATATTATGTGTATGTTGAGATTTATTTAATTTACTTTCGGCTTTCTGCCACAAAATGTTGCGCCATGGCCAAAACTTCAATAAACAGTCATTTGTGCAATTAAAGTCTGGTGCAGCTGCGACATCTTCAACAAGTTTTGGGCGCTGCACAAAGTGAATGAGGGACTCATGCATATCCTACAAGGACACGTCGCTTGTTCCCATTTTTGACATTTACATGCAGCGAGAGTTGTCTGCCAGCCAACAGAGAGAGAGACAGAGAGAGAGAGAGAGGGAGAGCGACAGGACCAGGGACTGGGACACGGAGTCAGACCAAGCTCGGACCCGGACCCGGATCCGGACCTGTCGTCTGTTGTGCGTGCCAGTCTCTGGTGTTACTTGGCAATTAATTATAATTTCACGCTTGACAATTTTTCACTTGCCAAAAAGAGAAGTGAACGACAGTGGCAAGCAATGGGCAGGCAGGAGTGGGCATGGCAGGAGACTGTTTGCTGGCCACTTAATGAGGCAGCGGTACGAAATGTGCATTTTATGACTGGAGCACTTAAGAGCAGTTTTCAACAGCAGTAATTTGGCCAAATCTATATTACACTATTAGCCCGCAAGAAATTATTGAAAGAATCCTAAAGGAAAGAGTCGAAGAGAGGGGGAGCTGCTCCTCTCAGCTATGACACAAGTCGTCTACACATCGAATCTTAAAAGTCTTCGTGTAAACAATGATGGGCATGTTTTACAAAATGTACTTTTTGCTTTCTCAATCCACACGCGCTCACCCACATTCACATTCACTCACGCATTACGTATACGTCATGTTGAACAAGTTGAGTAGGCCGCACAGCGCCTGTTGACTTGGCCGTAATGGGCTCTGCTGGCCCTGTCGCTCGCCTCGAACACAAAGAGCCGCCCCAAAGGTGTGGGGCAAAACGTTTTTATCGCCGCTGTGGCTCAGTGGGTGATAATTTATGAAATGAAGCGAAATGTGATGAAAGATAAAAATTAATTCCAACTGCGCTCAAATTGGGCTCTTGCCTTAGGCAGTGATAACAAAATTATACCATATATGTACACTGGCATTAGGCATTAATCTTAATACATTTTATAAATGACAATATTTGCTATACTGAGTGCCTAATTGTATTTGACGCTTTGTCTTTTTTTTTTCTTTATATATTATATTAATAATAATAAATTATTTTATTTTATTATGCTAAATTAATATATAAATAAAAGAAACTAAATAACATTAGTTCCCAAGGGCAAAGGGAAAAAAGTATTATTAAAAAAAAAAAAAGGATTCTCAATACGTACGAGATGTTGTTAATTTTTGCTTATTTCGATTCGCTTTCTGCGAATTTCATGATAAACTGCGCAATCGATTGCTCAGTAATATGATTTTCAAGGAACTCTAAATGCTTTGAGCGTACACGCTCTACTTCGGAGTTCCACAAAAAATAAAAGAACATGCACACTCCCTCTGAAAAAAATCTTTGTAAACAGTCTTCATTTTCCTATACATATCTACACATTCACACTGACGTTCGCTGTTTATGAGCCTATCGAGCACGATATGCAAGAGAACTGGGAATGGAAAGCCGAAAAATCGACAGATTTGTGAGCCGATCTCGCTGAAGAGTAAAGTAAGAATCAAAGAGAGAAACACTTGATGACACTTTGAGCAATTATGATATATGAAATCTATACGTCCTCTCCAAAAAGGGACGTCATATAATTTTTTATTTACCACTAGAAATCAATTAATTATATTTCCTTTTTTTTGACGTTGGAAACAATTCCTAATACTAATATTATATACATATATATTATTTATTATATATATATAAAAATATCTTTTTTTTTTAATTTCTATGGATTTTAATGTTATATGGATATTAAACCATAAAATCTGTATCACTTGGAATGAGTTCAATTAAATTAATTCAATCCTCATTCTTTTATAATCAAGTCCTATCGGTAAGCAGCATTATAACTTAAAGTGATTTCATAGCCGATGAGACTAACTAAATTAATACTTCATCATGCATGGCTGTATGCAATCTAGACTTAGTCTCTTATGTTATGTTGAAGTGAATGTCTGAAGAGGCTAACTCAATTGATATAAAAAAATTCATGAGTCCTGTCCGCAGCTACGCAGAGTCTCTTGCATACTCTCACCTTTAAATTGTGAGTTACTGAAGAGACTAACTAAATTAATATGACCTTTTTCTAAATGTCCTTAGTCTCTGACATTCTATCACACAGTGACTCGCCTTACAATTGTGAATGCCTGAACAGACTAACATAAATTAATTTAAAAACATTCATGAGCTCCATATAGCTACGATGCACCTTTCAATTGTGAGTGTCTTGAGCCTTAACTAAGTGAGTATCAAAGCATTCACGACATCTATAGAGCTACTCTGACTAATGACTCGTAAAGTTATTCATGCAGCTGCACCACAATTGCGCTTAACTCTTAACTCTATTCGCTTAAGCTGAGCAGAGATCTCTCTCTTGTGCCGGACTTGCTATGGAAATTAGAGATGCTAGAGACAGCTTCTGGAGATACTCTGCGCTGCTGTCAGTTGTAAATTCGATGCATTAAAATGCCATTTTTCAAACATTTTACGCCATGCACTGAGTCAACAAATCCTGTTTCGATGTGCCCACCCAGCGTCGTTTTGACACTTTCACAGCTTTTCCACTTGAATGCGCCCACTTGGCTGAGCTCCTCCTCTGACAGGCAGACAGGCAGACGGACACACAAATAAACACAGACACAGACACAAACACAGTCGCAGTCTAAGGGGAAGAGGGGGCGCAATCAAGCAATGGCCATCGCCTCCTCCACTGTCATGCATCAAAGCTGACCGAAAATGGACAACAAATTTCACGTTCATAAAAAATTGTGGACACATTTTGCTTTTCATTTTATTTGAGAATATTTTTAGTTTTTTTTTTTTTTGTTTTTTTTTTTAGCTTTTGTTTCTGCTCGTGTTTATTTGTTAAAGTTGTAGTGCTTTTGTTTTTGTCGCCCAGCTAGTTGTTTGTGCCGCTGATTGTTTTTGTAGCCAGCCAGCGAGCCATTGAATTATTTATTCGAAACAATATATTTTGCCAATTGATGTTTTGCTTATGGCGTTAAAGGCATTGTCCGGACAAAGCCATATGGTTTATGCCTCTGTGGCTTGCTTTCATATTTTTCATTCGATTCTTTTAGCCATACATTTTATTTGATTTCCAACGCGAGCGGGTCTAATAACAAATATATATATATGTATATCCTTTTGCTGTGCGCTCGGCTATATACGAAATATTTATTAGACAAATATTTTCTAACTCTGTTTTTTTTTTTAGCTAATAGTTTGCGTAAATTGAACAATTTTAGCTGTTTGCAATTCATTTGTTTAGGAAATGACATGAAGAATTTTTTTTTTTGTTTTTTTGAGCTAATAAAATATTATTCTAGCTTTTAATTGAGTAAAAAATTTGTATTTGCAATTGATATGTGTTATTTTTTATGCGACTTGTAGATAATTCAAGCCGTGCGCTGGGCTGTTTATTTATTTATTTTATTTATTTTTTTTTTAATTATTATTATTTTTGTAGAATTATATACATATTCCTGCTAACTCGCAAGCGCCCCAGAGGAAAAAATTATTGTCATTAAAAAGTACAAAAAGTACAAAGTACAAAAAATATATATAAATATTTAAAAATATTTCATGTGCCTACAATAATTAATTTGATCTATTTTCAAAATATTTCGAAATTTTAATTTTTAATACAATTGTGCATATTTATTTTATATTTTTGGTATATATATTTTCTAAAATTATCTATTATTATTGTTAAATATTTATTTAACATTTATTATTTTTTTATTTTAATTATTTATTTATAATTTTTTATTTATTTTTTTTTTTAATTTATATGTTGTTGACAATAAGAATTTTAAGAAATTTAAAAAAATGTTTTTAACAATTAACACTTTTAATGCTCTGCAATGCGATGCGCTTGGAAATATGTCAAAAAATCATAAAGGCATCAATAATTAAGCAATGATTACGTGCCGTAATACTTGTGCTTTATAGTTCAATTCCCCAATTGAGTTCATGCACAGAGCGCTCAAAAAGTATGCTACATAAAGTCGCGCACTTTCCTGTGAACCGCTTTAAAGCCTCTGACCCACTCGATTTGCTTGCCAACTTTTGTTCATTTGGGTGTAAAGCGGTTGTGGCACTGAACAAAAAAAAGGGAGCCTGTAAAATGCTGACACAGTTTGTAACTGTTGCTATGCGAACTGACAAATTTCGCGCTGTGTAGGCAGCACATAATGTGTTTCGACATCAATGAAAACACAATCAACCAAAGTGGTTACTTACGACCGTAGTAAAATGCCGCGGTTTTCGGGCGGCAAATGAGTGGGGCGAGGCCCGGCACGAAACGGCAAGCAAAGCAAGCCAGAGAGACCCGACCAGAGACCTAACCATGCCTTGGGGGCGGCATATTCATTTAAAATCTGTCTGGGATCCGACGCTGAGCTTGTCTCCTCTGAGGTTTTTGTACGCCAGCTGAATAATTAACGTGGGCACATGGACAGGCATGGACACAGGCACGGACACGGGCATAGAAACGGACATGGAAATGAACATATACATATATATGTATTAATATAAAGAGAGAGAGAGAGAGAGAGAGAGAGAGAGATCGAGGCAGCACGTAGCATGTAAATTGTTTCATTACCTTTCACTTTGGCCTGGGCCAGGTGCCTTCCGACTGTTCATTGTCTCAATCGGGCGCACAGGAGTGGGAGAGAGAGACAGCTAACTAATGTGCTGGCTAAGTGAAAAGTAAGGCCGCTTAAAAAAAAAAAAAACGCCCTTATGCTCGGCTTAAAGCGCCGGCTAACTCAATTAGCCAATAGTTTGCAAAGCGTTCGCCCCTTTGAAGCGCAGCAATTAGACTCAATCGTGAGGTTGTTGAAAGTTGTGCACAACTTTGCCGACTCTCGATTGGAACACCTAAACGACTCCACTCGCCACTTGGCTGAGCAATTAGCGCAATTTGTGGAGAAAAAACAAAATAACTAAAAGAGAGAAAAACTATCACAAGTCGTGGGCGTCAATTCGATCGACTGAACGCCCAGACAAATAACAATTCAATTCTGCCCCACACTCGCCCCAAAAAGTTAATGTACGTGTAATTTTGCTGGATGAGTGAGGGCTCCTGTTGTTGGTGTTGTTTTTTTTTTTTTGTTTTTTTTTTTTCTAATAAAAGTAGAGTACGAACTGGTCGTCCAGCAACTCAACTAGCTGCTGTAAATTATACGCCTCTAAGGCACTTTGTTTACTCACCGACAACATCCAAATAGCCGACTTGACTCTTCATCGGATCCGTGTTTATTTGGCACATATACCTGCGGGTTGTAAAGGATTTTTCATGTGAGTCAACTTCGCTGTTTCCATGTCTCGGCTTGTAAAAACTCGAAGCTCGAAGCGAGCTCCGATAAGAAGGCATGCGTGAAAGCATTTTATGGCAAAATGCGAACATAAATATGAAATAAACATGATCGTAAAACGCTGTGTAAATAAAAACTACGAACTGCATAGCGCAAATGGCAGCAGTTTAATATATGGGAAAAAATTAAAAAAAAAAGAAAATGTAAATAAAAACAATAAAAAGCATAGAAATTCATGTTAGATCAAGTTAAGGCGTATCTAAAAAATAATGAGCATATCACTAAAAGAATGTGTTTATTTTCATAAAATATTCAAGGAAAATAAAAGAGGACCAAAAACTGCTTGCTACAAAGTCTTAAATATAATTTAAAAAAAGGAGGAAAATATGCAAAAAAAAAAATGTTATGTTTTTGTCTTAATTGTTACATTTTTAAAAATATATATATGTGTGTATACATATATTAAAACACAATAATAAAATTAATATTACATAATTATATATAAAACACAAATTTATATGTAGAAATATTAAAATAAAAACAAAAAAAAAATAAGTTTTTTGCATTAAATATTCTACTATAGCTAATAATTAAATAAAAAAAATTCTTAGTACCTAATAAAACAAGTTAAGCAATAATAATAATATTTTAAATTTATCGTTTGTTTTTTCTGGTATAATAATTATAAATTTTATTAATATTGTGCAAATCCAAAAGCTTTCAGATATTTTAAGTAGAGTACTTTAAAATACAAAAATATATTATAATACATGCTAATTTATCTAAGCTATATACTATTCTTCATCCAGGAAAGTTTTTTCACAGTACAATATACAAAGAATTAAATTTTTAAATAGATATTTTTAAGACTTTCAATTTTTAAATTCTAATTTAAACAAATTTTTACCAGTGCTAATATAAATAAAAAAAATACATAAATATATCTTATACATAAATAAAAAATTGGGCTCATAAAATCAATTTCATATCCGTGCAGTTTAAATGGTTATGTGCTCGTTTTTATCTATAATTTATAACTATCATATAAGGATGTGAAATATATATATGTATATATATGATATTTAAAGTATATAGAGTTTTATAGTCGTGTAAAGTTAGTTTAGTACCATCCTTTGTCGGACTCCTTGACATCACGTATACGCAGTATCCAAGCACGTTTCTCGGCGTGAGTAATGCTCATGCGATGATTTTTGGTTATGACGTGATTTTGTATCGTTAAAATCGTCTGGGTATCGACACGTAGCCACGCAATCTGCACAAAGGGAAATAAATACACATACAAAATTATGAAACTAAAACGCTCGACTTGCTCTAGGTGCAAAGTTAATGCCCCGCTAGCGTGGCCCAAGCTCATTTATTAGCCCAAAGACACCAAAAATGTCGCCGAAAGGCGGCCAACGCTTTGGCTAATGAGTGAGTGGGGCTCTGATGTAATAAGTGTTTTAGCTTTAAGTTGTGCTATGTTAAATTTAAAATAAAAAACGGAAATGGAAAAGGAAAATGAACTAAGTCAAGCTTTGAGTATTCCTTATTGCATAGCTTAGATATCAATACTATACAGTCTGGAGCACTTAAAGCTGGGCATGGACAACCGAACAACATTGAGAACTTAGGAGCTCTCAGTTAAATGTATTCCGGTCTAAGGTAGACCTTGTAGAGCGCTCAAATTATAAGGTAGAGATATTGTTGTCTTTTTGCATATAGCGCTCTGTTATGAAAGACATCAATTCACTAGCTTTCAATTTGTACGCTTAAATGCAGCAGCAAACAGCGGACAACGGAGAATGGACAATGGACAACGGACAACGGACGATGGACTAGGAACAATGGCAAACAACATTATTTCGAATTACCAACATAATAAGCATCACAATCACCATTGGAGGATGGGCGACTGGCCAAAGATATCATCATCATCGGGCGGCAGGCCAACCCGTAAGATTATCAATTTGTTGCGTGTGCCTTGGCCAGGTCCATTTGCTTGCTACCTTCGTGGGAATGGGCCTAAGAGCTGACTAACAGAAATTTGTGGCCAGCCGTTTGCTATTTTCGTTTTTCGGCAATTCATTGAGCAACATTTTGTTCGCCTCTGCTGTTTTTCTGGTGGCCTCTGTCGGGGTCGGTCACGAAATCAAAGTGACGCCCAAGGGTCTTGAAACGTGCTCCGTTAGCCGGGGAGTGAAAAGTAACTGGAACTGAACGGAAAACCCTTACGAAAAAGGGTCAACGCAAATGGCGCACGCATTATGCGTTTAACGAGACGACACGCACACACACTGAAAAGGAGACAGAGAGAGAGCGAGCGAGAGAGAAAGGGAGAGAGAGAGTGTGGAGAAAACACACGCAAAGTGAAACTATGCCACGTTTTATTTGATGAAGTGTAAACTGTTTGAAATGACAGCGCCGCCGGCAAATTTCCATTAGGAGCAACACCTAGCCGAGCACCGGGCCCATCTAATTGTTAACGGATTGCCGAAACTATCATGGGACACGCCCACTAAACGCCCATTTGAGGAGTCGACTTACCTTATACGTTTGCAAATTGTCAACGACACACTGAAGCACAGCCTCACGGCCAACCGGCACGGTGACGTTCTGCAAGAGTTCTCCAAACTTGGGCAAATCTGCAAATGGAAATGGGAAATGAAAGGAATCGGGTTAACGTTGGCAATTCGAGTGCGCACTGAATCGGTCTAATCTAAAACAAGGTACATATCAGAGTGTTTCCCGTATTCGAGCATTGAAACCTCTGTATATACCTTTCATTAGATTTAACCGAAAGTCCATAAATATTTAAATATCCATTTTCAATTGTGATGAAATCTTTGAGTTCAACTTATCTTAGAATAGGGGAGCTTAACTTAATCTAAACACTCAAGCTAAGAGCCTCGATTCTTCGATAATGCGACTGACAGCAGCTAATTCAATTGTGAGAGTGATTCGGTAATTATGAATTAAATAATTTACAATTAATATAAAAAAAGTAAAAAAAAAAAAAAACAAAATAAAAAACAAAAATGTGTTATAATAAGTTAATAATTAGAAAAGAACTGGAATATTATTTTATTTTTGAAAATCTTTGTTTATAAACAAATGTTTACAGAAATAGAGGGAGTACTGAGAGATAGAGAGGGTCAGTGAAGGATACACAACTATCTAATAAATATAGAATAAATAATGAATATAGAAAATAAATGATAAGCATATTTTGAAAAACTCACACTTGGTTTACAAGAAGATCTGTACAGAGTTAAGTCTATGTCTTTGTCGGGTATTATCGACTAATACTAGTTTACTTGCTTAAAAAATAAAATAAAACAAATAACGCAATTTTATTTAATATATATTTTCAGGTGGAACCTCAATGTCGGATAACCACGGGGCTGAAAGGGCACATTTTCCGTCGATTATACGCAATATAATTAATATATGTATATGTATATAAGTATATGCAATTAGCTAATAATACATTAAGCGCATCCAAATAATTGTAATATTTCGTAAATATATTCAAAAATTGTTATATATAAAATTAAAATTATATGCAATAAAATAGAAATGAAATAAACTAACAAAACACATTTATTTATTTCACGAGGTTTTACTATACAGGAAATTTTTGTTTCAATATTCAAATATCAACGGTCAAAAATAAGCGCTTTATTTACACAATTTTGTGGCATATCTTAGGGGGGCGACAAGTTTAGCCGATAAAGGAAAAATGCCAATTTTTGACTAATAATGCAGCAGAATTACCAGGCGAACAGAAATGAGTAGCAGGGTGAAAAATGTTAATTAACAGCACATTAACAGGATCCTGTTAAGTTAACATAATTATGTTACAGGACTGTTAAGTTAACATGGTTATGTTAGTTTAACATAATTCTGTTAGTTCGCTGTTAAGTTAACATTACGCTAACAGTGTACTGTTAACTAAAATTTTTTGCCCTACTGGTGATTTCTGTTCGCCTGGTACTTATGTATTATTTACGTTAAAAATTGAGTTTCAATGGCGCTACGTGATTTTTTCTTAGTAATGTGAATATACAGAGCTCTGTTAAGCAACCATATCAACTCAAATGCTTAAATTTTTCGGTTATGAATCATGGAGTTTCAAACCTTATATATCAAAAATAACCCAGGGAACCCAGCTGAAAATGACATCAAACATGATTTGGCCATTTCAATGCGCATTTCGCAATGCTTTAGGCCTATTAGGTTCATCAGGACTATATCAGCGGTATTGGAAGACCAAAGATATATATGAGTCAACTAGGAACCATCGCTAGAAACGGAGCATGACACAGCTGAAAGAAAAATCATACATAATCATTTCATCATTTTGCTGCCCATATTGCTCGAACATGAGCATTTTGGTTCATCAGGACTATATCTATGGCATGGCTGAAGCCAAGGATACGTTGGTCAACTGAAAACCTAATTTTGCTGAAACACATAAAATACGCCATAAAACTATTTAGCTTAGTGCTTAACGTTATCAATATATATAAAATATACGACTGCTATGTTTACTATTTGAACATTATTCTAGACTAATAAGTGAATTTTATTGAATTAATAAATGAAAATAATACCTATAATAATGACATAATGTCTAGATAAATTGAAATAAATAAATAATATGTAAACATGTATGGCTATTCTAGTATAGTACTTATAAATATAATAAAGAAGAAAAGTATAAGGTGTGTTATCCTACGT